AATAAAAATTAAAAAATAAATAAGGGAAAAAAGAATAAATATACCTCCGAACTATCGTAAATGGTATGCAGATACCCTCCGTCATACTTTTGAGACATCGGTGCCCCTGCCATTCAAAAACTAGAGCATATATGCCCTTCACTCTAACGGAAGACTAAATAGGGACATGTGGCGCAATCTTATCCGTCGATCCGATATTTAATAAATATCGGATCGGTAGATAAGATTATGACATATGTATGTCCGTTAATATAAAGGGTATATATGCTCTAGTTTTTGGACGACAGGGGCACCAATATCCCAAAAATATGACGAAGGATATCTGCATACCATTTACAATAATTCAGAGTATATTTATCCTTTTCCCAATAAATAATTCAAAACACATAAATTGAATAATAGTTTAGCTATATTGGAGCTATCAGCCCTCTTGATAATGTGACCCATCACTTTCTTGTCTTTTCATAAAAATGGTGTTTTGACATAGACTACTTTAGTGGAAATCTATTCGTACTGTAAATACAACTTTAGGTGTACTATAAAGGACAAATGTAAATATCAAACTGCATATGCTCATGCACAACCTCAATTATTTCTTCCGTTTTAATTTATATGTCTGAATTCAATTTTATAATAAAATTTAAATAAACATATATAAAAATATAGTACTAAAATAAAAATATGTGAAATATATTAAATTTATCTTTAATTTTATGATCTTAAATATATAATGTGAAAAGTTAGAATTTTTTTTAAAATATTAGTAATATAAAAAATAATAATTAAAACAAGCGAATAACAAATTAATTATACACATATTTACAAGAGGAGGAAAAAAACTATTAATCCACTAATGAGAGAAACAGCTCTTGATTTGTTGTCATTTCTTTTTTTTAATTAGATAAATACTCTGCTGTTAATCTCATTTTTAATCATGTGGCATGTGGACAAATTATTGTTATCTTCTATTTTTATAAATTTAAATTAATTTGGTCAACTCTGTATATACTACACTACTTTTAATGGAAGCATCTCCACGTTCATGGACCGTACATTACTGCAAATTATTTCCTAATTTGATTTTTAAAAATGTTTGTTCAAAAATATTTATTATTTTATCAGATTATACATTTTTTATTTTATTTTAAAAATAAATAATACTCTATATTAATTACATTGAAAAAAGCTAAATATAAATTAATAAAAAAGTAAATTTTTTTAATAACCTTTTATGAGTATATATATAAAAAGAACTTTGACAATTAATATGAAACAAAGTGTGTATTATTAGGCGTATCCAAGAATCGAACCGAAAAAAATCTTATTGGGTTAACAAGATTTTAATGATTTTATAAAAATTATTGGGTTATCGAATCAACCAATAAATCGAACTGAATTTTTTTTATTAGGTTAACGAAATTTTAATGATTTTATATAAAAAATAAATTGGGTTACCGATTCGGTATCGGTTTTTAGTGTTGGGTCATTGATAAATCGATAACTCATTAAGACGATAGTAATTTACTACTTTACTTTTCACTACAGTCTACACACTTTATACTACTTCTACTTCACATAAGAAATTCCATTTTATGTTTAGGTTGTAATATGTTATTGTAGCTTTCGTACTACATCTACTCCTATTGATGCAATTTCTCATTATATTTCTTGTTTCATTATATCAAAGCATTTTACAGCTGATTTGCTTGTTTCATGCCAATTTTTTAAAGAAGTGAGAAGTCATATATTTATTTTATGAGCATTTTCTTATTGAGTAAATCAAAAATCGAATCGTTAATAACCAAAAATGATAAACCGAAAACCAATAAAAAATATCTTATTGATTTGCTATTGATTTAACATATATAAAAAATCAAAAATCAATAAATCAAATCGATAATACATAATCGAACCTAACCAACCAATGCACACCTAACTATTACTCTTACTTAATCAACTTGACTTATTTCCACCAATTGAGTTAAATGCATTCACACTCTTCTTAAAAAACATTTTAAAAATGTTTTCTGTATCATAAATTACTTACTATTCTAATATTAATAAAAGTCATATTAATTAAATACAAACTACTCCTCTACTCTACAAAGATAGAGTATATCTTGGGTACTTCGTAAATAAAATTGATTAATTAATTATAAACAATTTAAAGTACTAATTAAAAGATTAATTTTTAAAAAAACATGAGATCTGTTGTATGATTGTATACACGTGACGGGTTTTTCTAGGTAAAAAAGTTGGGAGGCGTGGGGGATGGGAACATGGAACCTGATTTTCAGTTTGGCTTTGACTAACCACTATTAACTGAATATCTCCCTCTTAAAATACTTATTTCCTCAAGGGAGGATAGAATATACGTAAATTTTATCGATATGTATAGAGGTTGTTTTTGATAAATTCATAGCTTAAATTAAAAACACTTTAGAAAAAGACGTAATGAAAATACAAGAAACAATTGATAATGATAAAACAATACTAAAACAAAATAATACTACTATAAGTGAATTATACGAAACAACAAATATAATCAGAAAAGAAGAAACTACAAACGTAGTACTACGACTACTACTAAGGACAATAAGACAATGCACTAATATGGATGAACTTATATCTACTAACCTTCTACCCTAGTTTGTATTCTTCATACTTTTCTATCTAAGGTCATATCTCGGTAAGCTATATTGAAGAGATGTGCATATCCGCATCACATGTCTGGACTATCTCAATTTAAAATTAATTTCAAATTTTGATCGAAATTGCTGTAACAATCTCAAACTTTGGACAGGACCTATTACCCTCATGTACTATTTAATAGTGTATTTTAAAGATGTATATGTGTCCACGTGAAAATCATAAAAATTGCATCATTATAAATAGTAACTTGTCCAGCTGGACACTCATATATCTTTAAAATACACTATTAAATAGTGCAGAGGATAATATGTCCTGCCCAAAGTTTGAGATTGTTACAGCAATTTCGGTCAAAGTTCGAATATATTTCATATTTTTTCCCCTAATATTTATAACACATTGTATAAAATATATGTCAATACAAATACTTTATTTGAACAAACATTACTATATCTGATTAATCCATATATGATCTTCTAACTCCACCTTTATCATTAAGTAGTCAAAATTTTACTTTACTTTATGAGTCAATTTGATTAGTGTTTAAAGTAACCATTTATCAAGTTTTAATGTGCATTGAATCTGAAAATGTAGAGCAATTATAAAACTCAAAATGGCTCAATAATTTAGAGTCCAAAAACATCAAGCCAAAGTGTTTAAAGTCATCGAGTCAATGCGTGCTATATAATTAATTTACAACAAAGCAGTATTTGATAAATCTTCAAATAATTAATTTGTTGCCAATAGTAATAACTTGATGGGCTAACAATTCAGATTCTAAAATTAATAGAGCTCAATCTTTTATTATTAATTACCTTCGATCTATTTTTTTTAATCATGATTATTAAAAATAATTAATTAAAATATATAGTACAATATACTATAGCGATATATATGTCCTTGTCCCAAACATAGTATAGTGTCATTTAAAAGACGAAGAAGATGAAATTAATTTTTTTTTCTATTTTTACCGTTACTCGAATAAATATGAAGAAAATTAATATGGTGGAAAAAAATAGTAGTATTAAATTGCGATAAGAAATTTATTCATGTAATTAAGATTGCTATAGCTCATGGATTTTTGTGACCAATTTTCAAATGATTTTCTTTTTAAAATGTGTATAAATCAATTAAAAATGAAATTTAGTCGGAACACCTTTTTACATTAATGATGAATGTAGAGTAAATCTATCTAACATATTATTTTCAAATTAATTAGTATCCTCTCTGATTTCCTAATAAAGGTACCGATTTATATTAAGTGAATTGTTGAGACTTTTTCATAATTTAAAATAAGTGAAATATTTATAGTTTTAAGAAAAATAGATTTTTTTTTTTCATATTTACCATTCATTTAATGAGGTTATTAGTTTACTTTACATAGAATGAGTTGGTATTAATCGAAAGAATAACAACTAAAATAACTTTTAATTTTTGTCTTTGAATATTTTGAAATAAGTCAATCCAAATAGCCTCTAAAAACATTTAACTTGAAATATTTTAACATTCTACAAAAAATTAACAGAATTCAAATTTCTAACACGGTAAAAAATTCTAATATTATCCAATTGTGTGTTCTAGTTTAACAAAAAAATTGAAAAAATTATATAAGAAGACAAATATGTATGTAGTATTTTTTGTTTAGACGCACATATATCTGAAAATTTCAATCTGTTTTACATGCATTTCAATCCTGTATATCTGAGGTGCAAAATACATGAAGGATTTATATATACACAATTGAAAGTTTAACCAATTTTAACATGCATCTCACTCAAAATATCTAAACTTTTACCTTTACAGATCATACTAAACATCATGCCGATTCTAACCTTCATAAAACCACACTTTCATATGTGAATATCTAACCTATTGCCCAAACTTTATATATATATACATTTTGCCCCTTAAATTTTTTGAAACATAACTTATATTTGACATCATAATATTACATAAATTAAAGACCAGTTTTGAAAGGCAGATCATACCATAAAATAATTAAGTAATGCGAACTTTTTTTGAGAGTAAGAGTAACTTTTACTAGTTGAACTGATAAATAATTAAAATAATTTTTTATGTGATAAAATAAAAAATACTAATATTTTTTTCCTTAACCAAAAAAAAATGGCTAATAATAATACTTAGATGAGGAATCACGAAATTATCTGTACATATTATTTTTTTCAGATATGAGATACCATACCCACTACCACTCCACGCCCGCTCTTCAAGTCTTTCTAACTGCCATTTTTCTCCTATAAAATCTCTTCAACAAATAACAATAAACCTCTCTCTTCACTTTCTCTCTCACATCACACATCCCGAGAAAAAGCTTAGAAGCAGCATCAACAATGGCCTCTATCAAAAAAGTTCACATGATTACCAAAATTGTTCGCCTTAAACAAGTCGTTAAGCGATGGAAGGACAACTCTCTTCGTCCTCGTTCCGTTCTCTCTTACTCCTCTTCCGATTCCGACGAACCGGCGCAACCTGATTTGAACTGCAACCGCCGCCGTACGCCGTCCGGTTCATTGGCGGTTTACGTAGGGGTTGATGAGAATGAGCGGCGCCGGTTTGTGATTCCGACTCGGTTTCTGAATCTGCCTGTGTTCATTTCGTTACTTGATAAGGCGGAGGAGGAGTTCGGGTATCAACCTACCGGAGGATTGGTTTTGCCCTGTGAGGTTGAGTTGTTCTCGGAGATTCTGAGTCTGCTTGAAATTGATGAACAGAGATTCGGTATTTTAGGGTTAGATGAGATTTTGATGGTGATTTCTGATTCGGGTTTAGATCAGTCTTGTAAAGAAGCTGCTTCACATGGATTTACTCCTCTGCTTCAGAAGGCTAGGGTTTAACCCGACCCGACCCGACCCAGTATTCGAGGAGGAAGATTTAGGTTTTAGGGTTTTATTTTTTACCTTTGGCCTAACCAACCTTGTGGAGATTTGTAGGATTTTTTTTTGTTTGTTATTTTTCAGCCATTTGTGAACCCAGAAATTTGGTTTTATGAAGGTTTGCTGGGTTACAAATAGATGTTGGTGAATTTTTCTTTCCTTTTTTACCCCTTAGACTATTAGGGGTGACAAGCTGATGATGATTATTGTTATTGTTCTTATTATTACTATGATGATGATGGAAAATAGCTTGAAAATTTATGAAATATTCTAGTAATTGACTTTGCAAATTTGAAAATTGTTAATGCTTGTTATTTGTTGGCTTTATTTTGTTTCAATTATTGTACTATTTTATGTTCTTGTTTGTTATGTTATTTTTTTATTATCATACTATTTTGTAATCTTATTTGCTTTCTTTCGAAAATAGTCTCTTATGGTGAGATTGAGATTTCACTCGCGCGTTGATAATCAATTGTTATGAAAATAACATATTACTGAGTTATTTTAATCACAAATGAAATGATGCTCAAAGTAGTTACATAATTATGTTAAATCAGTTAATGAAATTTTCCTAGGGTAAAAGAATCACTTTTATGAATTATTTATTTATGTAGTATAGTACTTATTTATTATAACTAATCATTTTTGCTCTTGGTTTTTCTTTTATCTTTAATTATATTATGCATTAAAGAATTAAAAAGGGAAAAGAGTACCAAATAAAAAAGTTTATCAAACTTTCATTATGATTTTAAATGATGCTCCTTTCAAAAAAATAAATTAATGAAAAAGTTAATAGAAAGAATATAAAGGTAGAGTTTGATCTGTACTACAGTACTTCATACTTGATACCTCGTGTTTGCTTGATAAAAATATAAAGTGCTCATAAAATGCTCATTCCAAGGACAAAATTATAACGATTATGGATTATAGTAGAATTTCCAAAAAGCTAATATTTTCTTTCCTAAAAATGCTCCTAATATATCAAAAATATTCATAATTACCAAAAAATATTCACATTTCATTCAATTGTTTTAAGTTTAATTCTAGTTTTGAACAATCCAATTAGTTATTATTCCCTCCGTCCATATTTACTTGCTTATATTTGACTTGACACATTTTATAAACAAGTAATTTTACTAGTATTTTTTTTTTAAAAATACAATAGTTAATTTAAAAATACAAGAGTAAAATACTTAACAATAAGAATAAAAAAAATTTATCTTTCAATTTTTTAAACTAAACACGAAATATCTATTTTGAATATAATAGAAAAATAAAAATAGACAGAAAAGAACAGTAGTAAATTACTCTAAGAAAAGGATCAATGTTTACTTAAAGTCACCTATTCTATCTAACCGCCCCTATTTAAGACGATAAGTACATGCAAAGTTATATTTAGAATAACATTAGCATGATTAATATACCTCCGTCCATTTTTAATTGTTATGGTTTTCTTTCGTAGAGTTAAACGATAATAATTTTGATTAATATTTTACGATGTATTTTTTCACCATATTGATATGCAAAAAAATTGGAATTTATAGTACTTTTCGTATAGTTATTGAATATCTGAATTTTTTGTTTAAAATATCAAATTAATGTAATTCAATTTAACTTTAAAAATTAGTCAAATTGATTTTCAAAAAACGCTTAAAAATGGAGTACTTATCAATATTACTTCCTTGTCCTTTTAAGAGTACTTTGCAATTTACTTGGCAAAATAGAGTAAAAGTTTTATATAGATAAAACTGACAGGTGATGCCAAACAGCACTTGCAAGTAAAAAGTAAAAATAAAAAAAGTAGATATTTATGTTTTCTTGTACCAAAAAGTTACCACATGCATTGCTTTTTTTCAGTTGAAATTTCTAATATAGGCTCAGCTATTTTATTTTATCAGATTCCATAAGGTTTTGTCTGGTAATAAATATCCATTTCTTGGAAATACTTTTCTGTACTTTACTTTTGCTTTATTTCTGCCATGGATTTAGAATGTACCAATTTGTAAAACAACTTCACGCCTAATTATCTTCCCTTCTTTTGTTCAAGACAACTTTATGATACAAATCAGAACAGTACAAACCAAATTTGTAAAATGGTGCTGTTGATGAGATTTTTTTATCGTAGAAATATGACACTTGAGTCTGATTTAATTTTTAAAATTAGTTTTAAATGAGGTGTGAGGAGGATTGTTCAGACCTTATAAGAAGATTACTCGTCACATTAACTATTGATGTGAGACTTTTTCATTCTTCAACACCCAACTCGCGCTTAGGGCTGGAGCCTGGACATCTAAGGCGTGGGAAAATTTAATTTGGGAGCATAAAATCGGTGAGATGGATTATTCTTTAATACCATATAAATATATGACATTTGTGCCTAATGCAACACTAAAAGAAAGATGAGGATTGTTCAAGCCTTATAAGAAAATCACTCATCTCATTAACCACTGATGTGAAGCTTATTCATTTTTAATATCGACTTTAATAATTGAAAAGAATCTTATTAGAAAACACTTGCTTCTTAAATAAACTTCATGTGACGTGAACTCAAATTAATTGGAGCCTCTATACAGATACCAAACATCTGACCGAAAATAAGAAGAAAAAAAAATACTCAGCGTAGTAAGCAAGCTTCTTTATAAAGAAGAGAAATATGAAGTGATCAGTATTCACTTTTATGTTTGAGGTTCCATTTTACTTTGATAATATTGGCATAAGCTCTATGTATAATTTATGATTCTCAGATTCTATTTATGAGATTATTTCGTATGTTTGTTGTTGTTATTAGTTGTTACTAAAAGAAGGTTGTTAGCTGTTCAATTTTTGTTGTTCCATTTAATTTAATTAATTAATGATATCATGATTTTGCTTTAATCTATTTTCTTTGTTTAAAATAGCTGTAAATCCACAAAGCATGATGAGTCATGCTTGTTGGAGGAATCTTACATGTAATTATGCTAGTAGGGAAGTAGTGCTCCTCAACTATATACTAGTATATATTTAGTTTTTAAAAAAAAGTTATGTTGTTAATAGAGACAAATTTATAATTTAAATTTTATTGATTTTTATAATAATTTTAAATTATTTTATAACGATAATTAAATTCACAATTTAGTATATCTGTGAAATTGAATACAATGTTATATGTAAATAATTTGATTCAAAAATACTCATATGCGTTAATATCTTAGCTAAAAAATACTTCTATTATTACTTTTGAGTTAACAAAATTCTCTTTTCCTAATAAATATATATTTTTTCTTTTTTTAAAACACATTCTTCTTCTAATAAAATATAAATTTATCTATCATGATATAATCAGAGCATTATAATTTTATTTTAAATCAAAATAGGCGATAGCACAATATTAAATATGATAGCAACAAAAATACATAAAAAGAAGTTACGAGTAATATTTAATCGAAATTCGTGGATTTGAAAATATAAAATATGGATTCATTAATTTATGAAATGATAACAAAAAATAATTACACAATAATCAGTATATGATCATAATTTTCTACTCTATCATTTCTTTTAAACTTTAGTCTTGTTAATGAAAATTCTTTTCTCAAACATCTACTGAAAACAATTCTTTACCACTATATAAATAGAAATAAAATCACTCCATACACTATGTTGTGAAAATATATTAAACATGTTATTTTTATGTTATAATTATATGTCCTAACTTATTTGACACGTTTTCTTAGTCAATTTTAAAAATATGACATATTTTTTATATTTAATAATACTTTTTAAAAATATTTATTTTATTATTATTGGATGGTTTATAATTACACAAATACTTATGACGTATTAATAGCAAAAATACTCGCAGCGGGGAATTTAGAAAAGGAGAATTATTTTATAATATATTTATGGAAAAAATCAGAAGACAATACTAGTAAGAAAAAAGATTAGGAAACGAGATTTTTTTAATAATACATTTATAGACAAGATAATATATTGTTATGATTGTGGTATTGTTATTTTTCTTATGAAATATATATTAATTATCTAAATCATAAATAAAATCTTGACCATTAATTTTTACCTATGCCGTGTGTCTCACATCAAAGCAAGAACTTGGGAAAATTGAGAGGAGAAATAGAGAAGAGCCGGATCCTACATAGGTCGATTTGGTTTGATTTTCACTAAAGAAAATACCTAAATCAAACATGTCAATTTATTAAATCTAAAAATCAAATCAAACCACATAAAGTTGAATTTTTCTTTTATTTTGGCTTTAGTCGGTTCTTTTGATTATTATTTTTTGGTTTATTTATAACTATACGGTGATTAAAAAAGAGATCAAATATATTTTCACTTACCTTTGTGATAAGCTAAACTTTAAAAACGGTAAAATTCACATGAGTACAAAATATTTTTATTGAAATATCAACATTCATTATGTAAAATTTATAGGATTAAAGACTATAGTCAAACTGAATACAAAACAAAATATTTACAAAGTAGATTGTTAACTTCGAATCTGAAAACCTATAATAGTATAATTGTAACTTTCGATCTGAATACAAAATAATATATTTACAAAAGTTTACAAGCCCAAATTTGAAATAATATAGGTTAACATTGAAAACTATAAACTAACTAAAAATATATTAACAAAGTAGGTTATAATTAATATTTTTTTTATCTATATTATATATATACATATATATTTATTCGATTAGACTTTTTTCTTTTAACAACAAACCAAATTAAGAATGATCGATTTTTTTTTAACGTCAAATCAAACTAGTGAACCATAACTCATTTTTTTTTTCTTCAATTTAATTTAATTCATCGATTTTATTTGACTTTATAATTTAACTTGTACACTCAATTTCTATAGCGCACACAAATTACGTATTCTAGCTTGTCTATCCTCTTTAGCCTTAAAAAGTCTTTAATAGATTAGCACAATTGCCCTGTCCTTCGATTTTATTGTTTTTTTACTCAGTTCGATTGACTATCTTAATTTAATTTTATTATTGAAAATTTGAATTATC